ATGGGCCTTGGACCCCCAGCACTATTCTATTATTACAATACTATATAGGTGGCCTTAGGCCCCCATCATACAAATACTATATATGGGCCTTGGACCCCCAGCACTATTCTATTATTACAATACTATATAGGTGGCCTTAGGCCCCCATCATACAAATACTATATATGGGCCTTGGACCCCCAGCACTATTCTATTATTACAATACTATATAGGTGGCCTTAGGCCCCCATCATACAAATACTATATATGGGCCTTGGACCCCCAGCACTATTCTATTATTACAATACTATATAGGTGGCCTTAGGCCCCCATCATACAAATACTATATATGGGCCTTGGACCCCCAGCATACACTATTATTACAATACTATATAGGTAGCCTTAGGCCCTCTCTCTCTCTCTCTCTCTCTCTCTCTCTCTCTCTCTCTAACTCTAACTCTGACTGCTACGCATATCTGTCGTTTATTATTTTGGTTTTGAAAAAAAGAAAATGATATATATATATATATAGGTGACAGAGAGAGACATAGAGAGAACAGAGAGAAACAGAGATTTCATTATAGCTATCATAGCTTGTATTTACTAGATCAAAAATATATTAATCATATGCAATGGTAATTTAATGTTTTTATTTCAAATATATATTAAATTCAGTTTCCATTTCGTTTAAAAATAATATAGCGTTATATTCAATCCGATTTCATGTCTACATGATTGGACCGACCATCTGCGCACTTACGGCGTGCACAGGTAAAATGTGGTAAAATGTATATAGCGACAATGTACACGGGGGCGCGTGTATGTTAATTAACACCGACATTTTACTTTAGTATATCCGCTCCATGCAGTCGACGTTGCGTTGGTCACGTAACAATTTCTGTTTCCGTGAGTTACTACTTTATGCGACCATCTCGCTCAATAGATACGGCAGCGTGTTAAGCCATCTTCGTCGCTTCGTTCAGTATTGAATTAAAGCTGTGCGTGCGGCAGCTCAATGGATATACCTGCGCCTCCACCCCTCTCTCCTCCCCCCTCCGCTATACACGCAACCATAATATATGCTGCACATTTTTATTGCGTAAGCGTTAGCCAGCGTTGTTTTGCATCCAACACTAGCGACCTCTCGTGTATCAAGCGTCTCCTATAGTAGTATGTAGTAATTAAGCAGGCCACAGGCGTCGAGTCGTCCAATGGAAAGAGAAAAGCGTCCTACTATTCACTAGCACGCGCAATTAGCCCCAGTCGCAGTCGCGGCCCTGCGGCGCGCGCTGTCTCCTGTTGCAAGCAGCAACCGCCGCCGCCGAGACGATTCTACGTCTATAAAGCTCGGCGCCCACGCGAGTAATTTTACTCAAGTAAAATGATGCATGCGTCAAAATACTCACGCGAAATATTTTTCGCGTCCGCCGCGCACGTGAGTAAAACAGTATAAGTAGTAATGCAGATCACGTGACTGTGCGCAGCCAATACTGGGCGTACAATGGCAGGCGACAGATATCCACATCCAAGTGTGGCCTTAAGCCACCGGGGGGCGTCTATTTTTTCCGTACCGCAAATGCGCAAAAGGTTCCTCTGATTGGCTGCTTTGATTTGCTCTGACGTGATAATATATGATATGATAATACCTATAATCTCTGATATGATAATACCTATAATCTCTGAT